GCTGATCTCAACACTTTTCAACATTTAAACAAATGACCTGCAAACAAGCATGTCTCGTAAATTTGTCTGTGCTGAATTCAAAGTGTCATAGAGTTGTACAGCACAGAAACAGACCCTTCAGTCAAACCTGCCCACGCTGAACAGATATCTTAAATTAATCTAGTCCTATTTGCCAGCATTTGGCCCATATCCCTTTAAATCCTTCCTATTCATATATCCATCCAGATGCCTTTTAAAAGTTGTATTTGTACCAGCATCCACTATTCCTATCTCAGCTTATTCCATATCTGCATTACCCTCTGCATGAAAAATGTTGCTGCTTAGGTCCCTTTTAAATCTCTCCCCTCTCACCTTAAACCTATACCCTTTAATTTTGGTTTCCTCTTCCCTGGCAAAAAAAGACCTTGGCCATTCATCCTATCAATGCCCCTCATGATTTTATAAGCCTCTATAAGGTCAACCCTCAGCCTCAGATGTTCCAGGGAAAATAGTCCCAACATATTCAACCTTTCCCTACAGCTGAAACCCGCCAAATCTAGTGACATCCTTGTAAATCTTTTCTGAACCCTTTCAAGTTTAACAACATCTTTCCCATAACAGGGAGACCAGAGGTGAAGACAATATTCCAAAAGTGGCCCAACCATTGTGCTGTACAGCCACAACATGACATATAACCCCTATACTCAATGCATTGACCAATAAAGGCTCTGTAAGTCTGCACCCTGGACCAGATCCTTGTGGAAAGCCTTACAAACATAATGGACTACTGCAGCACATGGCATCATATATTGAATCCCTAATCAACCATATCCAGTGCACGTCAACTCCACAAATTCAGTGACTAAACAGAATTGTGCTGTCTGGCTTGTGTGTGACTCAAGACAGAAATTTTATGTCGATGGTTTCAATATTGTTCTGACCATTAACAAAAACAGAAATTGCTGGAAATGCTCAGCAGGTCTGGCAGCATCTGTGGATAGAAATCCGAGTTAACTTTTCAGGTCCAGTGATCCTTCTTCCGAACTGATCATGTCCATTTTGATTGTCTAACAAACACACCTTCAAGTTTAAGACTAAAATCTAAAGGAAACGTAATACACCAATGTGTCTGGTTATTGTGCCCAAGATCAAATTATTATAAAGCTCAAGGACTTTGAAAATATCTAATTATTTTTCCCTTGTGTACTAATTTCCATACAAAATTGTTTTAATGACAATGATATCTCTTATGTTTCCAAATATTCTTCAGTCCAGCTACAAGTACATTTCAAATTGGTTCCCCACAGTGTGGAACCAGGCCATTCAGCCCAACAAGTCCATATCAACCCTCCAAAGAGCATCCCACAGAGACCCATCCCCCTCCCCATCCCTGTAACCCCTGCATTTCCCGCGGCTTCATGCGTCTAATCTACACATCCCTGGACACTATGGGGAAATTTAGCACGGCCAATCCACCTACCCTGCACATCTTTGGACTGTGGGAGGAAACCAGAGGAAACCCATGCAAACATGGGGCGAATGTGCAAACTCCACACAGACAGTCGCCCAAGGTTGGAATCAAACCTGGGTCCTTGGCGCTGTGAGGCAGCAGTGCTAACCACTGAGCCACTGTGTCATCCACATGTGAGTTATCTGGTTTGTAAATGTCAGTGTCCATGTGAAGCTATGTATGTAGGCCGTGACTTTGAAAGACTGACAGATTGTTCCAACAGCCTATCGCTTCATCTATTCACAACAAGCAAGGCACTGACTGCACCCAACCATCTTACACTCACAAAGCCTAAAACCCAGAGTCCACCATTCGTCATGATCGAATAACATTTTTAATGAATTGTAATCCATTCATGGGCACTTCTGGCTGGGCCAGCATTTATTGCTTATCCTCCATGACTGTGAGAATGTGCTGTGGGTTTGGAAGGTGCTGTGTAAGCAGCTGTTTTTAAATTTCTGCAGTGCACCTAGTAGATGGTTGGTGAAAGTAACATGGATGTTTGTGGCTGTGATGGCAATCAAGTGGACTCTTTTATCCCAGATTGTAATAATCTTCTTGAATACTGTTGGAGCAGCCCTCATCCAAGCAAGTGGGGAATATTCCATCACATTCCTGACTGGTGTCTTGTAGACGGTGAACAGTGTTTGGGGAGTCAGGTGGTGAGTTATTCGCAGCTGGATTCCTAGCCTCTGACCTGCTCTGTCACCACCACATTTAATGGATATTCTAGTTCGGTTTCTAGTCAACGGTAACCCCAAGACGTTGACAGTTGAGGATTCAGTGATTGGAAAACCATTGAAAACCAAAGGATCATGGTTTATTTCTCGAATTTTAGAGACCATCATAGTCTGGCATTTATGTGGCATAAGTGTTCTTTGCCACTTTTCATCCCAGTTCTGGATATTTTCCAGGTCTTACTACACTTAGATATGGACTGCTTCAGTATCTGAATAGTCACACATGCTGCTAAACATTGTGCAAACATTGGCTAACATCCTTAAGATGGACCTTATGATGGAAGGAAGTACATTGATAAAACTACTGCAGAAGGTTGGGCCGAGGACACTCGCCTGAAGAACTCCTGCCGAGATGTCCTGCAGTTATGATGCCTGACTGTCAACAATCACAGGCTTTTTCCTTTGTGCCAGGGATGACTCCAACCAGTGGAAAGTTTTCTTCCATTTCCATTGATTCCAGATTTGCTCAGGCTCCTTGATGTTACACCCAGTTAAATGCAGATTTGATGTTAAGCATAGTCTGGAATCAGCTCATTTTCTCCGTGTTTGAACCAAGGCTGTAATGAAGCTCGGAGCTGAGTGGCCCTGGCAGAACCCTAAACAGGCATCACTGAGCAGGTTATTGCTATGTGGTGCTGCTTGATAGCACTGTTGATGATACTTTCCTTCACATTTTCATGACCGAGAGTAGACTGATGGGGTGGTAATTGGCCAGATGGCTTTGTCCTGTTTTTTTGTGCGCAGCACATACCCCCAGGCAAAATTTCCACTCTCTCAAGGAGATGTCAGCAGGAACTGCTTGACTAGAGGTGCAGCATGTTCTGGAGCACAGGTCATCTCTCCCATTGCTGCAATGTTGTCAAGGCCCCAGCCTTTGCCTGAGAGAGGAGGCCAAGATGGATCAACCCATCACCCATTCTGTCTGAAGATTTTTGTGAATGGGTTCAGCCTTATCTTTGCATGGATGTGTTGGGCCCCCCCATTGTTGAATATTGGAGATATATGCAAAGTCATCGTCGCAAAAACCCACATACTAATCCCTCATCAGAGAGGGGCAACTGGTGGTGATTTTAAACTGGGGTTCACAAGAGCTCAGGTGAGGGTGAGAAGGAAAGTCCTTCATGGTAATATCAGCGAGTGTGGGAACTGGGTCAAAGTAGTTGATGTGCCTCTACATTGCAAACCAGCTGTCCAGCTCCCTTAGGGAGATGGTTACTGAGTGGGCATTATCGAGTGAAGGATATCTTTGGAACACCACGAGGTTGAGAGATAGGAGGGTTGGAGTAGAAGACAATATTGCTTGTTGAATAAAACTTCTCATTTCATTAATTAATGTGGTCAGAATTATCCAGTTTTCAAAATTGAATTTTAGAAATAAATATACATTTATATAAGTACTTAATGTGTGTTGTTGTAATCTGTTTCTTCACATTTGAAAGAAACACTAATTTGAAGAGTGTTGCAACCTCAAAATCCCCAGGCACTCCTCCATGCTATAAATTAAAAGGCTGGGAAACATAAAACGTCAGTGTTTGATGCAGAGAGATTGACTGCAACATGAAAGCACAGATCACTTCACAGAGAAAATGCTTGAAACATTTGGAATTATCAATAAAGTATTCAATGTGATTCTTGCCATTGTTAGCATTCCTGGTAAGTGACTTAAACTATTGAGGCTTTGTAAATCTGGGTGAGAGTTGCTCCCTGCACTTTGTGATAGAAGATATTATGCTCTGGTATAGTGGTCACCATTATACAGATACTCGAACATCGATGTCATTGATTATGTCAGATGTTATGAATATTCTCAGTGGTTTAATGCTGACTTGTGAGGGCTCTTGTGATGCAGTGGTAGTGTTCTTACCTCTGAACCACAAGGACGGCATTCAAATGTTAACTTGCAGTGGAGATGTCTCTGAGCATTTTGGTGAATTTAACTGCATTCTGACATATGACATTAGTACTCTCATGGTACACACCTCTTCAGGAGCAAGTGTCTGTTTCCCAAATCAAACAGGAGAGGTCTCCTGTACTTGACTGAGTTTTATACCCTGAGATGGGATCTGTGTCAGATCAAAAACCCATGGAGGGATCTGCTCCTGAATGCCAACTGTGTCTGATCATGCCAGCTTAGAGAACACTGGAGTAGATCGGCAGGATCCAGAGAGAAAGAAACAGAGTTAACGTTTCAAGGCTGGTATGACTCTTCTTCAGAACTGCTTCTCAGAGCAAGGATCTAGGGCAGGAGTATTAATCCTGAGGGGAATGTGGCACTGGGCAAACCCAAAAAATGAGGAGGATTCTGGTACTAGTCAGTGGACCTGTATAACAAAGGGTCTGATTCTGTTTCTGAGGCGACTTTGATCTGCAGATCCAGTCCAATCTTGCATAGTGTCCAAATCTCTCCATAATCCAATCTGTCATGGGATCAATCTTGGATGTGTTATGATCCCAGGGAACATTTGAAGCTGGAGAGGATTCAATCTCAATGCTGAATGGTTTGAGAAACCCTGTGAAGAGTCCGAAAATGGCGAGAGTCATCATTTAAGGAGGCTTTGAGTCATTGTAGACTCCCAGTCTTGGCCATTTAAATGCTATCCTTGGGATTATAGGATGCGTTTGGTGGTACCTGTATTCCCAGAAATTACATAAAATCAAACCCAAGAGCATTTATTTGTTCTAAAAGAAAAACTGTCCTTTCTGTTTGAGTCACGTGCAGAGATTGTTTCAATCTGTAATTTACACTTTCTGTTCTGTTATTTCTCATGCAGTTAATTTACTTGGAATTGTGATCCTGTCCCAAGGAAAGTGCGGCCTCTCAACATGCACCAGTCGTTACCTGATGGCCATGGCGACAGCAGATCTATTTGTTATAATCATTGAGGTTATTCTGTGGCAGATTAAATCCTATTATTTCCCTGTGTTTTTCCTGGATCTCACCCCTGTGTGTAGTGTTCACAATGTTGTGATTTGTGTAGCCATAAACTGTTCTGTCTGGTTCACGGTCACCTTCTCCTTTGATCGATTCATTGCCATCTGTTTCCAGAACCTGAAAACGAAGTATTGCACCAAGAAAAATGCAGCTGTCATCCTCTCAATAACATGCATACTGCTCTGTTTTAAAAATGTTCCCTTCTACTTTGCATATGAACCAAAACAGGTCATTGCCAATGTAGCCTGGTTCTGTGTTCTAAAGCCAGATTATTTTATTGAGCCTGGATGGGTGGGATTTGACTGGTTTGATAGGGTTTTAACGCCCTTGCTTCCGTATGCTTTAGTTCTGTTGCTCAATGCTCTGACAGTGAGACACATTTTAGTGACAAGTCGGGCTCGTCAGAGACTGAAGGGTCAGAGCAAAGGAGACAATTACAGTGACCCAGAGATGGAGACCAGAAGAAAGTCTGTGATTTTACTTTTCACGTTATCCGGCAGCTTCATAATTCTGTGGTCGGTGTATGTTACAGATTTTTTTTATTCCAGCATTCGAGGAACATACCTGAGCCATTACAACAATGCAGAACTTGTATTTGCAATGGCCGGCCTTTCACTGGCAAATTTAAATTGCTGCATAAACACATTTGTTTATGTGGCAACTCAATCCAAGTTCAGAGAGCAAGTCAAGGAGATGATGAAGTATCCTACCACATTAATTATCCAATTAATGAATAAACTAAAGAACTGAGAGTAGTTTCAGGGCATGTCTCAGTATTTACATGTCATGAATGAAAAAAAATCACTAAAGCTATTGTGAATAGCTGGAACCCCATGGTTCCCCACTAGTCATTACCTTCTACTCCAAAATATACACTCCAAGGAATTCCAGTATGTTTGTAAAACATGATTTTCCTTTCATCAATCCATGCTGACTTTGCAAAATCCTGTTTCCACATCCTTTAATATTAACTCCTACATTTTCCCGATGACTGATGTTAAGCCAAACTGTCTGCAATTCATGTTTTTCTCCATTCATCCATTTTTCCATGTTAGAGCGACACTGTGACCCTCCAATCTGTTGGGATGCTCCACTGTTCAGAATCTACAGAATTTGGGAAAGTGACAACCAACATGTCACACTCTCCAACTCCACCACAGCACCTTCCCCAAAGCCCTCATTCCAAACATTCATCCTCCCCCAACCCCTACCCACACACATACATCCACTTCAGTGTCCTGAAGTTTTGATTAATGACCCTGGTCATGTATTAGTTTTCGTTAATTTCTCCAGCGCTATGCTAAATTAATACTAATTGCCATCAATTCTCACCTCCGAACAGACATTGGCACCCCTAGCTTATCTGGTATCTTCTTCTGTAAAGATAGAGCTAAATAAGTTGTTCTGCCATTTTAATGAACCTTATGATCAATTCTCCATGTCCGGACTGTAAAGAGCACATGTTTGTCTTTATTAATCATTTTATGTTTACACGCACATAGAAGGTCTTACATTCTGCATTTATGTGCCTAACAAGTTTCACCATAGGACCACAATGTATAGGAGAAGAAGTAAACCATTCAGCCCAACAAGACTGGCTCTGCCATTGAGTGTGTTCATGGTGAAGTGTTTGTGTTGTGAGAGATACAGAGAGAGTCCAGCAGAGGGGATTG